TTACAGTAATCTTTTGTTTGGGTGAAGAAAGGGCAGTAATATCCAATGGGGCCACCATACCTGGGTTTGAAAGGAACTGACATAAAGGTCTGGCATCACTTAGGAGGACAGTCTCCAGTGCCGACTAGACTGGTGATAGAGGTTTGTGAGACAGTGTAGGTTTCCCGTAACTTAAATCTCCAAAAGTACCCTCCGGTGTTAGCCAGCCCACCCATAGAGAGGAGGTTGAAAACAGAGAACAAAAGGGGAAGGTTAAGGCACATCTCCGGGGACTGGAGAGGGAACACGAAGCCGAGAGATGCAAAGTTTTAAGGGGTTCCCAAGGGAAGGGGTACAGATGAAGTCAGGAGAGTAGGTGGGGAGTGGAGACGAAGGGTTGATGGGGTCGTCCTGCCGGTTATCTCGGGGGAGCCGGGCTGGCTTTAGCCTGGAAATTTGAATCCAAGATGTTAATTTTCCTGGAGTTTCCTCTAATTGGGCTGTGGTAGGAGTGCAGAGGATGATTTTTAGGGACCCTTTCCATTTTGGGGTAAGGGGTTTCTTTTCAGGGAAAGGAGGGGAGAAGTAGACCTAGTCCCCTGGGTTTAAAGGGAAAGAGAGATGGGTGCGTGAAGGGTCTGGAGATAAGGTGTCATGGTGTCACCATAACTGGGTTCAAATGAAGGAGAGTAGAGGAAAGCCGAGGTGTCCCGGGAAGGGGTCCGGGGAGGAGGTGATTCCTGGAGGCAGAGCTGGGTAACCGAACATCACCTTAAAAGGGGATATTTGTGTGGGTTTCTGTGGGAGTACCCGTAGGCAGAAGAGGGCTATTGGAAGGAGTTGAACCCAATCTAGGTGTAGTTCTAAGGTGAGTTTAGTGAGAAACTCCTTTAAAGAACAGTTACTGCATTCCACCTTCCCTAACGAGGGGGGATGGTAAGGGATATGGAAATGCTATGGGATATTAAGGGCCTTGACAATTGTTTGTGTTACCTGGGGTGTGAACTCTGGGCCATTATCCAATTGGAAGGAGGTAGGCATTCCAAACCTAGGGATGATGTGGGTTACCACAATAGAGGCCACAGTTGAGGCCCTCTTATTGGAGGTTGGGAAGGCCTCTACCCATCCTGAGAAAGTGTCCACCACGACCAGAAGGTAATTGTGTCACTTCACTCTGGGCATATTTGTAAAGTCTACCTGCGAATCCGCCCCTGGGATGTGTCCCCTGGCCTGGTGAGAAGGGAATGGGCTGGGCCTCAAAGGGGTGTGTGGGTTAGTCCTCTGACAAGTGGGACATGGGGAGGTGAGCTGGTGTAGATATTGGGAATCTTCTGGGGTGAGGGGAAGAATGAGTTTAAGAAGAGTTCGAGATTTTGAGTGCTAGTGTGGAAGATGGAGTGTAGATACGAAAGGAGATTATGTCTAGGGAGTGACTCATGGGTCGGTTCAGGAGTCTGGTCCTGAAGCTTTGTGAGAGCCAGAGTGGAGTAATTCTCCCCTGTCACCTGTCAGGCAGCCTGATCTGCCTTAGAACTGCCCCTAGTAATGGGTGATGAATCCATTTGGTGGGACCGGCAGTGGGCGATTCCAATCTTGGAAGGAAGGAGAGAGGCCCGGGGTAGGTTGGTAATGAAAATGAAGTTGGTGACAGAGGTCTCTCTCATGGTTAATAACCCCCTTTCTTTCCAGATAGCTGAGTGGGAGAGGTGGATGTGGAAGACATATTTAGAGTCAGTGTATAGAGTGAGAGAATGGTCGGCCGCCAGCTCAAAAGCCCTTGTAACTGCAAACAGTTCAGCCTGCTGATTGGTGGTACTGGGAGGGAGGGGCTGTGCCTCGATGGTCTGGGTTAGGGACACT